CTCCAGGAGCTTGGTGTGGGAAATATTTCTTATCTAAAGGTGTCCAATGTGCTGTGTGTGGCCACAGTTCTGAGCTCTTCCTCCTGCTGAGAACTTTGCCAGAATCTCCACAAGTGTCCATGTAGCTGCCTTTACTTCTTGTTGAGGGACAATGCATATGTCAGCTCCTTGCCAGATTGAGGTCTATGGAACTCTTTTCTTGGGTTATAGTCCAAAGTCACAGTTAACATTCTCAAAACATAAAACAAAATGTCATTCTGTGAAAGAAGAGATCAAAAATGTACCAATTATAGAAGAGATAATTGTGAGCACATAGCACCATCTTGAATGTACCATAGTCTACCTGCTGGGTGTGACCAATGGTGCTAATCAGATGTGATTAACTTATAAAGAACTTGCAGCCAGTTTTCTTACCTGAAGTTGGACTTAAGCCAAGCATATTATATTTTAATGTCTTGGAGGAGTAGAGTTCACTGAGAAGTTGGCCTTTAGTAGTTCTTTACTGCCATTGGAGTCTTGAAGCACCTAGAAGCTGAATACCCAAGGTGCACACTGAGCCAGTCATATTGTAAGTACTAAGTGCATCTGTAAGTGGGAAGAACTTGAAGACATGGTGGCAGAAGCCCTCTTTCTGCCCTTCTCACATTACACCAGGCACATGGCAATGCATGGTAAAGCATTAGACCCAAAGCAAAGCTTCCACCATGGGTCTAGCTGGCCTGGCACAGTGTCTTGTCTCATGAGTGAGTCCCTGGTTATATCTGCAGTGAAGAGCCTTGTTCCCTCTGGCTCTGCCTGGTATTTCACTAACTTGATCAAATTCTGAAGACAAGACTGGCTAGAGCAAGGCAGAACTTCCTGTGGCAAATGGATGCCCCTGTCTACCAGGACCATCTCATTTCAGCTTGGTCAAGTCACTTTCCAGTCTCCCACTTCCCGGGTCATAATGCTGCCCTTCTTCCTTTGTGTTCCTGACATGACCCATGAAATGCAAGGCAGAAGGTCAACTCCCTTGGAGTGACTACTGTGCTTACTTATGTGTCGGGAGTTGGTGCTATAGCAATTTTAGTCACTTGTCTCTGTCCTGGTTAGGTTCAAGGAAAGGGAGGTTTATTGTTGGGTTCTTGTTTGTTTGTTTGTTTGTGTTTTGTACCAGGGATCGAACTCAGGACCTTGCACTTGCCAGGCAGGTACTGTGCTGCTGAGCTAAATCCCTGGCCCCGGGAAAGAGAGGTTTTTATCAAAATAAATCACAAGTATTAGCCTCCCCAGAACATTCTTTCTCCAAGTCCAGCAAGTATAATGGGTCAGCACACTGCTCTCAGGTAACAGCACCACAAGAACTTAACACAGAGCGTTCCATGCACTAGTATTCCAGAAACTTCTACTGAAGGAAAGGAACTGTTGTCCTACTTTTTTTTTTAACGAATCCTGAGATAGCCAACAGTTGGTAATTTCTTCAAGCAATCTTTGGCACAGTCCATGTGTGACTGCATTAAGATATCCCTGCTCTCCTGTGGACAGAGCTCAAAGAAGCCAAGTCCCTGTTCAGCCACCTGCCATTCTCCTATACAGTGGTACCTCAGTTCACAAACTTCTTTTTTCCTATCATTTTGTTTGCAAACTGAATTGGATGAGCACTGAATCAAATTCAATGCTTAGGTTCAATGTTGACCTTACAGGGAAATTTGATTCGATTCTCATCCAATTCGGTTTGTGACCAGAATCATGGAAAGAATTAAATCCCTGAACCAAAGTACTGCAGTATTGGGTTAAAGAGAATAAAAAAGTCCCGTAATCAAAGGCTTCACCTCAGGATTATTCTGTGGGTGTCAAGTGGCATCCTGGAAGAGACTAGGGAGATGTGACACTGACGTGCCCCCTTCAGTCCCCACTGATGTTGAGTCAAGAGTCTTCTCCCCTGCAGCACCGACTTCCTGGCTGGTATCCTGGCCCAGACTCCATGACGATGCCTAGCAGCACACTATTTGGGTTCACATGCTGTCGTGCTTTCCTGGAGACATCAGTTGGCCACAGGGGTTTGCATTTGAGCGTGGGCCATGGAGCCGATAATAATTGGAGTTTCCGGGGTTGTCAGTGGGAAATCCTGGAGAAACTCCTCCATCATAACAGCAGCTGTTAGCAGTGCTGTCACACCAGAGCTCTTCCTGGGATGAGCCAGGCGAGTTTGGAGGAGAGGGCAGGGCAGGAGAATAAATTTCATTTTATTGTAGAAATAGAAATTTGTGTCATGACTTTAAAAATCTGGTTTTATGTGTGTGTTTAATGCCATTCATTTTAAATGTAGTCTCATAAATCCTTGCTTCGGAATCAAAGCTGTTTAATTACATTTCACCCATGACTAGTTATCTAATGCCAATAGAGAAAGAGTTAAAAAGGAGAACTACAGAGTAAATCAGAGGTGAGATCTTTAGCACAAGCATAAAAAATCAATTTAAGATGAATTTTACTACTATAAAAATTCTTCACATATCCTTTTAAGAGTGGGAAATGCTAGGAAACAGAGCTCACATATCAGATCCCTAGCAAGGTAGAAGGAAGACCACCAGCACAGGCATGGCCTGGGAGCACCAAATGTGCCCACACACTCAGGGCACCTCTGCATAAGGGTCATTTGTTCTGGAGGCTTGATAGTCACTTGTGGGTGTAGAAGCTCCTACCTCTAGCTTTAAAATGCCCATCTCCCATAGTGAATGCTGAATTCTCCGAGGAAACTGTTTGTGGTGTTATGGTGGCCAGCCAGGCCTCAAAAGTCTTAAAAACTAACCCTGACTTTGACCTTGAGGCCCTGGCCTTTGCTACCTACTTGGCCTATACCCCAGCCCACCACTTGGGTTCCTCTTGTGGAAAGTCCCAGGCCAAGGTGATTTGGCACAGGGTTTGGAGGTGGTCCAGTCCCCCGGTGTTGTCAGTTGAGGGTCACTGTGATGGATGTCAAGTCTGTTAGCTTCCTGTCTGAGCAGAGTCAACCCTGAGGCTGCTGCTGGCTGCCTGCTACCTGCTGTGCTCTGAGGGAGCTCTCACTTACCCTCAGGTGGACACCATGTCTGCTCCCTCTGTTCTCCTGCTGTCCTTGGAGATCAGAATGGAAAAGCATATTATAACTTTCCTTTTAGACACCATTGTATTTGGTTAGTGAGGAGCAGAGCAGGATTAGAATGAGAACGTGTCTCTAAAATTGAATAATAATTAAGCCAAGAATATGGCAGAAATTCTTCTTACCATGATCAGACATTGCTAAAAATGAAAGATATTAGGCAATATGAAGATGTTTCTATTTCACCTGGGAAGCTCTCTAGGAGAGAGGCCCCATTCTGCCTGAGGAGTGAACCTGGCATCTCTATGGGTGCTCTTCGTGTCTGGGCCCAGCAAGGATTACCAGGCAGCAGCTCAAGCTGAGACAACAACCTGTCTGTTCAGGGTACTGGGCTAAACGAGAGCCCTATCTAGCCTTGTCACAGCTTGGAAAAAAACCTAGAGCTGTTCTGTTTAGCCATAATGTTGACGGGGTCAGCTGGCCTATGGGGATTTGAGTATCAGGCCTGACTTCTCATCTCAGTGGTCTGTCCCTGCCTGGTGAGTTCACGGCTCCCCTCTCCATTTGTTCCCTGGTTCCTTTCTGAGGGCCATCAGTGTTTTCATGCAAAGATGGCCTTCTCTGACTCACTTCCTTGTCCCTCAGATGGAATGCAGAATTTCATTCGGGTGGACACGGACTTGCCATTCTGAGATAGAAAGTGCTGACATGGGTCTGCCCAGAGTATTAGAGCTTGTGTAACCCGTGCCTCCTTTAACACCCTTAGAATGTGTGTTGCTGAATATGTGAGCTACTGTTACCTCTCTGAATTTCTTCTTTTACCATGAGAGTGTACTTTTGTAACTAGAAGGAAGGTGCATAGTTTCATTGTGTGCCTCTGACTGTCCAGATTTGTGCAAACTTGGTTTCCTCTTCACAAGAAAGGACTCACCACTCTGCATACTACCCAAGCCCCTAGTCTTAAGATACAATATTAACTTCATCTTCTCCAAGCCAGCCTCTGATACTGGCTATGCTGAGGTGAACCACTGGTCTCCTACAGCCCACAGTTTGATCCTGGACACTAGCTCTACTCTTATTTGCTGCCCTGTCTCATACAAACAAAGTACTCCGTGTGCTCCAGGGTACTTCAGCACTACCTGTCATACCTGTGCTGGGTCACATTTCCAGGTGAACAAAGACCTCTCTTCACTGGGGTGCTCACAAGGGTCATGTGTAAAGACATACTGTCTATCGGTGGAAGCCTACACACTGTCCCTTAAAGGATGCTTGGAAAGGTGTTGTCCAGGGGAACCAGGAAGGCCAGGCTGACAGGCTCGAGGACCATCTTGCATCTGCCTCGCAAAAGTTTTTCCACCTTCCCACAAGAGCCTCAGAAGCTGTCAAAGGAGACTAGAAAATCTGTGTCCCCTAGGCCTGGACAGCCACACAGAAGGACATGCTCTGAGAAATTCCCCCCAAATGCTGCACAAAGCCACCGAGACCATGGGATGTGCCCTTCACTGTTGGGATTCAGGCTAGGTGGTGGGATATGTATAGTACAGTCTGGAACTTTGGTAATATTTCTGGAGAAATTTTCCATGAGGAATACTTGATTTTAGGTACAGGAATGCCATCCATAAACCTTAAAAGGGGACACACTCACATGGTCCTTGGTGTGTACCTCTCTCTTGTTCTTGTTCATATCCCTTGCAGAGCCCACATTCTGGGCCTTTCCTGTGGTTTGTAAGCCAGAAGAGGGAAGAGTAGATGAAGTAAAAGCATCCTCCTTCCTGGACCTGCTTCAGTCTGTCTTTCTGCTCTCAGGCCTGCTGTACAGCTGGTGGACACACACACCCAGGGAGTAGCTGGCAGGGTTCCCCAGCTAAATGCAATAGGCATTAGCTTTTCATGTGGGGACCAGGGTCCAGAGGTTTACTAAGCCCTGTTATCACTTTTGCAGCCCTGTAGAGGCCCCAGCAATTCCTGAGGCTCTCAGCAGTCCAGAAGGAATGACAGAGCCCCTGATGCAGTGCACAGCCTGGCTGGATGCCTATTTCCACAAGCCTGCGGCCATCAAAGGACTCCCCTTGCCTGCTTTCCACCACCCTGTGTTCCAGCAAGGTTGGTAACTATGCTTTTTACATGCAGCCTTTTGGGAGCCTCACTTATTAACTATCACTGACATCATAGCTCATTTATTGACTGCACCAACTTGCTATTTTCACATCATCTAAACACAGGCAGCTTGTGGCCAAACTGAAGGACAAGAGCTCGTGATCTCCTCCCATTCCAAGTGGTTGTGTTAGTTTTGGCATATGGTCACATAATTCTTGGCAAAGGCAGTAAAAATGATGCATGCAGATCGACTCTTGACTCTCGCTGGCTGAAAGGTTTAAATAGGAACACATCTGAATAGCAGTAAATTTTTCAATAAGCTTATTGTTAACTTAAACTATCTGCCTGCCAACAGCACAGAAAATGAGACTTGTACATGGACAATTAGCCACTTCCATAAACTCACTTGGTGACAGCTACATCACAGGCAGCAACTTCATATCTGATAAGGTACATTTTAAGCTTATAGACTTACTGTAGTTAAATATATTCTTAAGAGATGAATTAATATTGCTTAAATCTAGATTGCCAACAGCATTTAAAGTCTCTGATAACCTTAAAATATTTTCCTAGTATTCTTTTAAAGCTTTTGTTTGGATCTGCTCAACACAGAAGTTAATTATAACAGCTAAGATCATTTTAGATGCATACCAGAAATGTATTTTGAATAGTGAGTTTTATAATTATTTTAATGTAAATGAATATATATTCATATTCATATGTATATTTGTAGATATATACATATCCTTAAGGAAAAAAATTACCCTGAGATTTTAGATATGGTAAATTTAAAGCAATCTTGAATTTCAAAATAGTGCTTATTGAGTACAATTAAAGGTATTCTAAATGCTGCTAAGATTTTCAGCAAAAACAAATGGCATTTTCTGTGAAGCCCATGAGGTTGCTCTAATACCTGAGTTTACTAACCAGGTCAGAAAAGTGAATACATAAAACCAGGAACATTTTTGTGTGTGTACAAAATGCACTGAAACCATGCCGCTTTAGTGAACCAGGCACCTTATTCTCCCCTGTATCAAGCAGAATTGTCTCAAAAGACAATTCTAAGTGGGGGTGCCTGGAGTAAGCGAGTGTTGCCAGCACACTGCACATATCCGAAGAACCTCCATCACCCATGTGGCATAGAGACCAAGGGCACTGCCATGTCCCTGCCCACTGTATCATCCTACCTGCTGCACCTCCACCATATGTCCATCCCCAAGAGTTGGAGTCCACTGGTTGAGCACATCTGATCTGCCCCACACAGCAGCAGTCCAAAGAAGTGAGATGGGTTTGGTTTTTTGAGTAGGTCTTGGGAACCTGAGAGCAGCTGATTCCTCTATCCATTATCTGCCTTTGGGGTTACTGCCCAACCAGCAGCACAGTGGGGCTGCTCAGAAGGCTCCTTTTTAAATCTGCCTAGTAAATTAGCTGAGACCTAGGAACTTAGTACAGAGAATAATATCTATAAAACAGGGCAGGAAGTATCTGTGTAATCACATGTGGGATGGTGTGGAGGATATGAGCCTGTGAAATCGTAAATTTAAGATGTGTTCTGCAACTTAATGAAAAATGTAGATTCCAACATTGCAAGGAAATCACTAGGGTTGTAACAAGTCAGACAGTGGTGCCGGTCATGGAGTGATGGCCTGCGTGAGTCCAGAGTCATGTGCCCTAAGGCCAGCCAGCCCCGGAGAAGGAGACTCTGCAGCTACTCTCAGTCCAGGACAATGACAAACCAGCACTGAGGTTTTGTGTCCTCATTGCTGCCTTACAGCAGTGTTTGCTGGCCCCTGATATGGGAACTGGCCCCTGCTACTCCTCAGGCACATTCCCAGCCCTTCGTGAAACCACTTTTAGCCCTTCATCCCCAGCTTGGAAGTCTACACCGATCCACACAGTCTGTCTCCATGCTATCAGGTCATGATGGGTCTTAGTGACCAGGAAGACCTACACTCCATCAGGATAGGATAAAGCCGTCCAGCTGCTCCTGCCCTGCAGTGCAGGGAGACACTTCTAACTAGAAAAGGGTTGACTCTGGCTCAGACTTGGGGGTGGGCAGAGCTCAGACTCTAGAACCTTTCTTTCTCCTGGAACCCTGTGGAATCCAAGGCAGGTGCAGCCCAGAGTATTTATTTCTAGGACTTTCTCCTGCAGCCTGCAGTCCCTTGGGCCAGGCCCACCTCTGGATGCTGCTGGGATGGGATTTCTCATACCCAGGCATGTGCAAGCCTGGTTTTTAAATTTAGCACAATCATTTACTCCTGAGCAGAGACGAGGTGTGTGGCTTTTACAGTTTCAGGAAGGGAGGTAGTGGCTGGTGTTAGCATAGAGTTAACTGATACCCCCTCCAGATGTGTAAATCCCCCTGTCTTTCTGGCACTTGTTGGGGTTCTTCTTTGTCCAGTTTTCATTTTGTAACACCAGTGACATCAACAGTGAAGGAAGAATCCCACAGAAGGAAAGTCTTCCAGTATCTCAACACCCTCTGCGAGCTGTGGGTTCATAGGAATCAATCTTCTGTGCAGATAGAGAAGAATGGGCCCATTTGAAATAAATGTTTTCTCAACCAGTTCCATTTTCTGTGCATTTTCATTTTTAGATGTGTTTAAGGTACTTTTGTGTATCATTTTTCATCATATTCTTCTCAGATCTAGACCAGCTCTATCCATTTCAACCTATTTACAAATGATAAATATAATTGACTTGATCCTTGAGTTTCGGCACATTGACCTTTTTTTCGTAAAGGCTGGCTTGCAACACTTACGAGCTGTTGGTGCTAGGCGCTCATCCTTCCTCATGCCCAGCATGGCCAGTTCTGCTCAGGGCCTCCCTTCCTGTTTACCAGTCTACTTTTCCTTTTTAGGGTCCTTCCATGAGATGAATATGCTATTCCTTGTGTGTGTGTGTGTGTATGTGTGTGTGTGTGTAGGTGTGTGTGTGTGTGTGTGTGTGTGTGTGTGTGTGTGTGTGTGTTGTGGTACTGGGAACTGAACTCAGGGCCTCTGCACTGAGCTACATCCCTAGCCCCCCTTTTTTGAGATGGGGTCTCACTAAACCATTAAGTTTCCCAGGCTGTGCCCAAACTTTTGATCCTCCTACTTCATCCTTCCAGAGGGCTGTACATTGCTGGGATGCACCATTATGCCTGGCTCTGATTTATTCATTTTTTCAAGGCCAGGCAAAAAAAATATGTATTAAGGTGAACCCTTTGGAATTGCTGTTTTTGTGAGTTAAAATAATATTACCAGGTAGAGATAATTTCCAAAGATTGATGAGTGATAGATCAGTTACCTGGGCATTTGTAAAGAAATAGGCTACCCTTCCTCATCTGGAGTGCTAAGTCTGTGTAGCTGTCTTGTTCCGGGGCTGTAGCAGGTGCAGTTGTCCCTAGAGAGGGAAGGAGAAGTCCCTAAGTGAAGGCTTGTCTTCCCATTGAAGAAATCAGAACAAAACCTAACTGTTGGACACAGTGTGCGCTACTTTCTGTCTCAGTAGTAGTCAGGTCATTTCCTACAATAATATTAGTCAACGTTTTTTTTTTTGGTTTTGTTTTTGGGTTTTTTGTTGTTGTTGTTTGTGTTTTTTTGTTTTTTGTGGGTTTTTTTTGTTGTTTGTTTGTTTTGGGGGGGTTTTTTGGCTATACTTCTGTACCAAAGGTTTCAGTATTCTGCTGAAAATCATTCTCACTTTTCTGACTACTTTAGACCTAGCAGTCTTATTGCACAATGAATTGTTTTAAGGAGGCCACTTTCTCCTATAAATTTCTTGCGAAGGTCAGCTCTGTGTTCATTTTCCCCCAACATATGCTTATCTAATGAAACCATTATTCTTGAACTTCCTCTTTACCTAATGTTTCTTTCATCATGAAATACTACTTAAACTTTTTTCTTAACACTCCCTGTTGTCTTTATATTTCATGTATTAAAAATGTCCATTGCTTTGTATAAGCTGCATCTTACAGTCAGAGTAGCAAGAACAGGAAAAGTAGCCCTTACCCAGAGCCCTTTCTCAGTGAGCCCTGAAAGCACAGACCTATGGATCAGAGTGGACTCTGAGATGCAGGGTGAAGGTGGGCAGGCTCTGCACTGTCTCATCTCTGAGCCCTTTGGCTTTGAGATCCTCCCAGCAGGTGTGGCTGGATGGTACAGTACCCAGGGGACATAGAGTGGGGCTGTTGACCCCAGGCCTTTGAATTTGGGCCTCAGTATGAGGCCCTCTCTGCCATTACCAGGCATCAGTTTGCCTCCAGGGCAGGGCAGGGTGCTGACCACCCACTGCTCGTTCTTCCCGGGCCATATCATAGAGGATGGCTCTCAACAGATGACTGATGAGTTTTTCTTTTAAAGTAACTGTAATGTTCCCTTTTAAATGAAATATTTAATACTTTAATAATTCCTTCGTCACAGCTATTAGCTTAGCTATGAAATCCAGTTGCGTGGCAGCAATAAAATCTGGATTTCTACGCCTTTGGCTACAAGTGAGTGTTGTGATTCCTGTTGCAGAGCCTTGGAAAGAATTCATGTTCTTATATTTGTGTCTCCATGGAGCCCCTCATTTCTAAAGGGCCTCTCACAAAAGCCTGCCAGAGAGCTATGGGAAAGGCTCTTTTGGGAGTGAATTAATTTCCCAGTATGTCCCTCAAGATTATCTCACTGTACCTCCAGTGGGGGCCTTGAGAGTTCTGGAAGGCAGATGATGACCAAGGAAGGGGCAGATGAGTTGGGGGACATCTCCCTGGTCCCTAGAGGAGTGGGCCCTTTAAAAATACGCCTTTGAAAGCCAGGTGTGGTAGCGCCGCCTGTAATCCCAGCACTCGGGAGGCTGAGGCAGGAGGATTGCTGTGAGTTCAAGACCAGCCTGGGCTACATAGTGAGTTCCAGATCAGTCTCAACTACATAGTGAGACCCTGTCTCAAAAAAACAAAACAAAACAAAAATACACCTTTGGGAGCCAAGCAGGGGTTGATTTTTGAACCCACCATCCTGCTGTGCTGAATGGCCCAGCTT